TATCCATAGATCAAAACCAAAATATAAAGTTTATGGCATGTCTAACAAAATAAATATAATTATGGTACAAGACTCCCACTAAACTTATACATCATATAAGGATACAACACCTATATAAGCAATGTACTCATGAAAAACCTTAGGTGTAATCGTTTAGTGAGCAGATCCGCAATCATAGAGTTTGTTCCAATGTGCTTTATCAATATCTGTTTACTCTTAACTTTTTTTTAACAACGAGAAACTTGATATCTATATGTTTTAATTTTATCAAGCTCTTGTTATTGTTGAAATACATAACTGAAGACTTATTATCATAAAATAACTATAATGGTTTTTAAATGCCATTAATAATACGCAATCTAGTGACAAAATTTCACAGTTATATTTATTAATTAGATGCCTCATAACAAGCTACAAACTCCACTATAATAATAGAAAATGTTACAAACATTTGCTTAGCACTTTTCTAAGAAATAGTTCCCCCAGCAAACAAGTAGATATAAGCTGATATAGATTTTTTACTGTCTTGACATGTAGCAAATCAGAATTAAAATAACTACTGATCTTGAATTGATCTGACTTCCTGTATGTGAGCATATAACCTTTTATTTTTTATAGATACTATATGACATGTTTGGCTGTTTTCCCATTATCCATATTTGGATTGATTAAATATCTACCTAACATCCAAATAATGTATGCAATATCCAGACGGGTACAAACATGTATGTACATAAGACTCTCTACAGCTGAAGTATAATGGATTTTTTGCATCTCTGTAGTCTCTAAGTTATTTTTGGGTATTGACTTAGAGTAAATTTATCTCATTTATACATAAGAGAGTCGCATGGTTTACAATCCTGCATGCCAAATTTTTTTAAAAAAATTTTAATATAACTCTTTTGTGATAATTTAAGAATATTTTCAGAGCAATCCCCGTATATCTGAATCCCTAATACAAAATAGGCATCCCCAATATCTTTCATCTCAAATTTTTTTTGTTACAAATATTTTGGTTTTGTATAATAAGCCTATATCGCTACTGGAAAATAATATTCTATCAACATATAAAACTAGAAAAATATACTTACTCCCACTGAACTTGTAGTATACTTTCAAAACTAAATGAGATGACGACTTGATAAAATTTATAATACCATTGACGGGAAGCCTACCTAAGTTCATAGATGGATTTTTTTAGTTTACAAACCATTTGCTTTGCATCTCCGAATACAAAATTTTTTAGTTGCGCCATATAAATTGTCTCATCAATATCACCACTTAGAAACGTTGTCTTAATATCCATATAATATAACTCAAGATCAAAATGTGTCACTAAAACCATTACAGGTCTGAAAAAATCTTTCAATGAAATCAGAGAAAAAGTCTCTTTATAATCGATGTTTTCTTTCTGTGTAAAGTATTTAGCGACAAGACGAACCTTGTACTTCTCAACATTAACTTTCGAATCCCTATTTATCATAAATATCTATTTGCAACCAATAGGTTTCACATCTTTAGGTAATGGGACAATATCCCAAATATCATTATCTTTCATGGACTTTATCTCTTCATTCATGGCATCAATCTATTTTCGAGAGTTAAAACGTTTTATAGCTTGATGAAAATTGATAGGATGATATTCCACCGTATCAATGTCAAACTCATATTATTGGAGAAATACAATATAATCATATGAAATTGCACTCCTCCTATCTCTCTAGTAGATTTTTTTAATAACGTAGGTTCTTGAGGGTGTGAAGTTTGTACTTTAGGAACAATTTTTTGAACAGAAACGAGAGATATTATGATATTGTCTTTATATGAATTTACTTCTTGAACAATGGTAAATATAAGAACTTAATATTGATCATTGTTAAGAGTAATTGAGGAAATAGGAATATCGACCCATTCATTTTCAAAGATAAGGTATCGAACTCTTTTTCCCACCACAGATTCAACATTCTCAAAAAACTAAGCATTTTTCGTCTTAAAAATTATCTTAATAATAGGATTATACAACTTGTAACCCCTAGATCGTTCAGAATAACCAATAAAAATAACAACTAATAGTTATGGAATCCAGTTTCTTTTCTTGTGGCCTATAAGGTCTGACCTCAGTTAGACATGCTCAAATGTGTAAATGTATCAAATTATGTTTTTTACTCGTCTAAAGCTCATAAGGGGTCTTTATAGTTGCTTTAGTTGAAACTCTATTGAGTAAATATGTTGCAGTCTTTAATGTTTCTCCCTATAGTGATTAAGGTAAGGGAGAATAACTAATTATACTTCTCACCATATCGTTAAGTGTTATGTTTCACCTTTCAATAATATCATTTATATTAGGAGAGCTTGGCATGATGTATTATGAGATGATACCTTATTCTTTTAGGAATTAAGCAAATGGCCCTAGACGTTGTTGACTTGATCCGTCAGATCTATCATAGTATTCACCACCACGGTTAAATCTAATAGTCTTAATCCTTTTATTGAGTTGGTTCTCAACTTCTGTTTTAAAACTCTTGAACACATCCAGAGACTAGAACTTCTCATATCAAATATTATTGACCATTCCAAGAAACTATAAAGAATGATCCATAAATATCTATATGAATGAGTTTTAATACATCCATAGTGCTGTTGGCACCAAATCTCTTAATATTTATCTGTCCCCTTAATACAA